AAATGTTCGAACATTTACAGTGCCATGTCTTCTACTTACATTAGTCTCAAAGATTGAGGGAAGAAGGGATGAGGAGACTGAGAGAAAGGAAAGTGAGGGTGAAGAAAGAGAGGACATGGCTAGTGAGGAGAGACAGGGAGGGCGGACACCACCCACTCAGCCAGCAGCCAGTCAGCATACGAGGGAACCAGCAGCCAGTCAGCATACGAGGGAACCAGCAGCCATTCAAACAGATCTATTACAACAATTAAAGAGAAAATTAAAGAGCCAAGAAGGAATCACCAAAAAAGCAAAGGCTGCACTAAGAAAAATCAGGAAGGAAAATGCAGCTCTCAAGAAAACAATGAAAATTAGGGACAAGAAATATAAGAAAACGTTTTCAAAAGACCAACTGAAGGCATTAGGCAGACTCACCACAAAGGGGATGAAATGGAGCAATGAGACAATTAAGAAGGCTTTAAAAATTCGCTTTGCGAGCGGACCAACGGGTTACAAAACTCTGCAGGAATTGAAGATTCCCCTTCCAGGAATAAGGACACTGCAAAGAAGGATGCAATGTGTTAAGTTTAAGCCTGGTGTGTTGACAGAGGTCTTTGATTTCCTAAAATTGAAGGCAGATAAATTGACAGACCTTGAAAGGGAGTGTGTGTTGACCTTGGATGAAATGGCAATCACACCAAGTGTGGAGTTAGACATGATTACAGGCAAACTGTACGGTGATGTGACTTTACCAGGTCACACAGGGGTGGCAACACATGCTTGTGTGTTTATGTTGGCTGGAAACACAACACGGTGGAAGCAAGTAGTGGCATATCATTACACTGGCAATTCTACCAATGGAGCAGAGTACAGGCCAATCATTATTGAGATAATACAGAGGGCAGCATCCATAGGGCTACATGTGCTTGATGTCACCACCGACATGGGTAGCCCTAACCGAGCCATGTGGAAATCCTTTGGGGTGGACCAAAATAAAACATCGGTGCCACATCCAGCAAAACCAGACAGACAGCTCTATTTCATGCCCGATGTCCCACATCTGGTAAAAAATTTAAAAAGTGCCCTTGGCAGGTCTTCATAATTCCTGAGGATGTTGTTAACAGAGAGAACCTCCCATCTAACGAGGTTTCTGTGGTCCCCATTAAGGACTTATTGACCTTTCAGGAAGGGATGGCCTTAAAAATAGCTCCCCATCTTTCAGCTGCAGCCATCGAGCCAAGTCACTTTGATAAGATGAAGGTTGGTCTTGCTCTAAATGTATTCAGTAAGGCTACAAGTGCTGGGCTGAAATACATGGTGCAGCAAGAAAACCGCCCTCTGTCATACCTGACGACAGCGTGGTTCCTGGAGCAGGTTGATCGTTGGTTTGATCTGATGTCATCTCGCCATCCAATTACAGCCCTGAGCAGGCTCAAGATGGAGGAGTACCAAAAGGCCATCACCTTCCTCCAGAACATCGTCCATCTGTTTCGTGGGATAAAGATAGGTCAAAAGGGAGGTTGGAAGCCTGTTCAAACAGGGGTGATAATGGCAACAACATCAATTTTGGCCATACAAGAGGAGATGCTTACACAAGGACACAGGTTTGTGTTAACGTCAAGGTTCACACAAGACTGCCTTGAAAATACATTCAGCTGTGTGAGGTCTAAAAATCCTGTCTCAACTCCAGTGGAATTCCATCATGCACTGAGAATCATATCTGTGGGGCAGTTCCTCACCACCATCAGCTCTGGGAGCTACCAGGAAGACCACAGTAGCTTTTTGGCAGACTTCCTGGACACAGGGGAGCCAAAAATCACTCCATCAGTCAGAGTGGAACAGCTGATGGCGGTGAACAGAGCAGCAGCACCTGACCTCACAAAAACTGAGAAATGTATTCTCTTCCATCTTGCAGGCTACATCGTCCACAAAATCATCAAGTTTGCCAGCATCTGTGAAAAATGCAAAATTGCAACAGAGCACCATGATGAGAGTCCTTCACCGGTGTCAGTACCAGATATGTTCGGGCTACCAGATATGTTCGGGTGTATTTCCGTCGCATCCGTCATCCGTCATATCCGTCATATACTCACCTCCCTCTGCTCCCAGCGCTCTGCTGCCACACACCGGCCGTCTGCGGAACTGCAGCTGGAGGAACTCGGGACAGCTTGTTATGTGTGGGGTGCTATGGTGGGGTCCCATGTACTTGTGCACATAAATAATGTTTCTAATTATTTACAATTAAAAAAATATATATATTCTGCGTTACTTTAGCCAACACTTTTATAAGGCCACTAGATTAGATAATTACGAAATGTGTAGATAGAATACATATATTTCAGGTTGTTATTTTGTCATTATGTTTAATGTTTTATTTACTTTTTAGTATTTTTATATAGTATCTGAACTTTGGAGAGGAGTTGGGAGACACACGACACATCAAATCACATCTACAGATCAAGGCGAAGTGAATGGAAGTACTCCCATACTCTATATACTAGCGTGAAAATGTTTGTGAAAACGTATGCAAAGTCTCCGAAAATCCTAAAAATAAGCTCATATTTGAATTCCCCATAAAAAAACACATCATTCAGTAAAAACAAGGCCCCACTGATCATCTACTCTCTGAGACGATTCCAGGGATGTCTGGCTTGAGTTTCGACCACCAGGGAAAGTGGACAAAAGTGCCCGAGATCAGCCTCTTAATTTACCCAGGGCCTAGTGCTCAGTTTTGGGCATGAAAATTCAGGAAACTTCCCTGAGTATTTTATTAAATATCTGAAATTTGGAGAGGAGTTGGGGGACACACGACACATCAAATCACATCTACAGATCAAGACGAAGCTATTGGAAGTACTCCTAGCGTGTGAAAATGTTTGTGAAAAACGTGTGCAAAGTCTCCGAAAAGCAGTGGCTGTGATGCTAGCTTTGCGGCTAGCGGTTAGTTGTTATTGTTTGAAGTTGTTGCTATGGAAACAACATGACGGAGAAACAATTAATATCTTCTACATATAATAACGGAGAAAGTAAAGAATGAAGTGTAGGCTATACCTGTTTGAAGTTGTTGCTAAGGAAACAACATGACGGAGAAAAAGTATAATCTTCTACATATAATAACGGACAAAGTAAAGAATGAAGTGTCGGCTATGTTTAAATGTTCGGAATTTGACCGTGATGGCCCTCTTGAGTTGCCGTAAAATATGACGAATATGACGGAGTACGGATGCGACGGAAATACACCCGAACATATCTGGTACTGACACCGGGGCTGCTTCTCAGGTCGATTAAATGAAATCCTTGCTTCCCTCACTTGCGTCGTTTCCCTGCGTCTAGTCTCTCCCACCAGGGAAGCATGGAGGGACGCAAGGAAACCACGAGAAGCAGGGAAATGAGTTTTAAGAGCAATGGGACGTCCTTTCCTCCGGAGCGTCACGTGAAGCGACGTCCGTTTGTGATGACGCTGCACAGCTGATCGTCTGACAGCAGCTCTGTCCCCGTTATTTCCACACACACCCCCGCCTCTGTTAGTACACACTTACTGACACAAACATTAGTATAATCTGTTGTAGACCCAAATAAATAAAATAAAATAAGAACTAATTCTCAAAAAAGATAAACGCCATTCTTAAAATTTATAAACGAACAATAGTTTGATTAATATTGATTAGAGTGCACAATATAAATAACATAATTGAGAGAAGAAAAAAGAGATATGTTATCTATCAAAACCCAGTTAGATTAACATTCATTGGATTGCACACTTTGTGTGTTTGTGTGGATATGTAGCACATTAACATTTTAATAGCACTTAATGACTGACTGAATGGAAATGACAATAAATGAAAATGTAAAACGAAAAAAGCGATCATGAAAATGTTTCCAAAAAATGAATTAAATGATTTTTGACCACTTTGTTGTTCAGATATATCACATATTTGTAACTAAATGATACATTAATTGAAACAAAACACGGTATAAACTGAGGAGTGACTCCCGTGAGGTTCATGTATTTTCTTCACTCTGCTCATGTCAAGAAGCATCAGATCAGTGCATGCACTGCCTCGTCCAATCAGTGAGCGATACACAGTAAGGGGGCGGGGTGAGTATCTGAGGATTTCATCGGAGGATGGTCTGGTGGTTATCGCTCCTCCATGATCGCTCCTCGCTCCTCGATCCTCGGTCCTCCGGTGTCAGTACCAGATATGTTCGGCCTACCAAATATGTTCGGGTGTATTTCCGTCGCATCCGTCATCCGTCATATCCGTCATATACTCACCTCCCTCTGCTCCCAGTGCTATGCTGCCACACACCGGCCGTCTGCGGAACTGCAGCCGGAGGAACTCGGTACAGCTTGTTATGTGTGAACGATCTAGATCCCTCCGCTTCCCCATAATTACCGCGACCATTTTAACTTTCATGACAGAAATGGAGAGCTTTTATGCTGAGATAAAGCAGTACGTGCTCAATGGTGGTTACCACAATCTCACCATCGCCGCTGAAAAGCATGATAAAAGGAAGGCGTTAATTCGGAGGGCATCCAAACAATACCTGATCAAAGGTAAGTAACAGAATAAGACCATGGTTAAGTCACGAACATACGTTTTTATTATGAGGTATAAACCCCCTGTACATGTGACATCATCACATCCCTTTACTTATAGGGATCAATAAAGTATATATCTATCTATCTATTTATCTAATGGTGTTTTTTTGGTGCAAAAGTGATCATACCTCTAATGGTTTATCATATTGCAATTCCAACATTTTTCAGTAAATCGCAAGGACTCCACAGCTTGTTTCTCCTTTTTCTTTTTATACACACTTTACATTACTGTAGTTGTTACGTCTAAACCACATTTGCCACTGGATTTCTTGAACAGCTTTTAGTCATAATGTCATCTCTACACATGTCTAAATGATTGTTTTGTTGTTCCTGTTGTGCCAGCTGGAGATTTGTACTACACATACAAGGACAATGAGAGGATGGTTGTGTGCACCAAGGACCAAATTATCAATGTCCTGAAGGAGTGCCATGATAACCTGGGTTCCGGAGGTCATGCAGGGAGAAGGCGCACCACCGAGAAGGTTTTGGCAACGTACCACTGGTCCACTATGCGGGAGGACGTGAAGAAATGGGTGGGAGTTTTTGACTGACTGACTGATTATTGATCTACAGAAATGTGTTGTATGTGTACATTGAAACAGAGTGAGACATGTGTGGATCTCATTGGCCCACTTCCCTCCACTGCTAAGGGCAAAAGGTACTATCATGATGGGCTGAAGCATGTGTAACCTCCTTTAAAGGTTCTAAACGTGAAGAATCTGGTTTAAAAAGAAAGGAAATCATTTACAGTGATTCTGTATGTATTTACAACATTCTGCATTTTATATTGCAGATACATTCTAACAGCGACTGATCTGTTCACGAAGTGGGTGGTAGCAAAAACGCTCTACCACAAAACAGCTGTTGAGGTCTCAAAAAAGATTGTAAATATTCTTCTCGATTTCGGTCTTGTCGAGAAGATCATTACCGACCAAGGACGGGAATTTGTCAATGAGGTACAATAATCTATCTAATACAGTGTATGTGTTATGTGTAACAATTGTAATACGATTTTTTCAGGTAATTTGGTAATTGGTGTACACTAAACCATCTGCAGGTCAACCGTGGTGTTTTTGATGCACTGGGTGTAAAACACTGCATCACTTCAGCGTACCATCCCCAGTGCAATGGCCAAGATGAGCGTACAAACCAAAACATAAAAAAAGCACTTGCAAAGTACTGTGGAGAGGACCAGAATGACTGGGATTTACATCTGAGGGGCATTGTGGCGAGCATTAACACCTCAAAGCAGGTACAATGTTGTAACAAATGCAGATGGAAACAATACTCAACAGAGATACTAAAAGGAATTTTTATGCTTTCAGAGGTCAACCAAGTGCACGCCCTATTTTGCCCAGTTTGGGAGGCACCCTCGCGTCCCGGGTGTTATAAATGCTACAGTCAATGACAGGGATGATACCTCTGTTTTGGTGCCTGCTGATGAGGCAGAACAGCAGCTTGAGGCAAAGGCTGCAACCATTGCAGATTTGCACTCGAAGGTGAGAATAAAATGGCAATATTTAAAACATAATAACTCCTAAAAAATGCAAGCGTATGTTAAGGACTGTAAATGATAACTGTTACATATCTTTCTCAGATTTACCAGAACATCCAAATAGCACAACAGAGACAGAAAATCTCTTTTGAAAAACGCAAGGGAAAGAATGTGAAATCTTTCCTGATTAACGTTGGAGATGAGGTCCTAAGAGCGAATAAGAGGAAGGAGGGCCGAAAAGGTGGAAAACTGGAGTGCAACTGGTTTGGCCCTTATGTGGTTTCCTCAATCACCAACAAGGGTGTGGCAACCCTGTTGAGCTCAACAGGAGCTCAGCTGAGACAGAGTGTGAATGTGTCTCAGCTGAAGCCCTTTATCAGGCCTATGTTGAGAGGTATTTTGATTATCAATACAAGGACACATTTAGGTATACTTCATGTGTGGTACTTCAATAATACTGTTTATTTTTTGTCTATCTAATAACAGCTGAACCGAAGTTGGATTCGGAGGGGTCAGTTGCTGACCACCAGTATGCCCTCTCTGGTGCGAAATACGCAAAGGATCTACATCCGATTCAAGACAAGCTGGTAGATATATGTTTACTTCATGCACAGTGATGGAGGTGCATTGTTTTGATTTTAATTTTTCTATGTTTTCTATTGGCTTGAAGTATGTTTTGCAATCTGTTATTTGCAGCTCAGCTATGTGCTAGACCACAATAGGCCTGGAGCAGAGGTCATTGTGAAGGAGGGTGATGTGTGCCTGACCAGAGAGGACTTTTGGAGCCTGGGTCTTCCTCAGTGCATGGAGTCAAATGTAGGTATACTTGAGCTTTCCTCCCAACTTCATCTTGTCTCAAATAAATGGCACAGGTAACTTACTGTTGTTACTGTTTCAGATTGGAAACACGTGCCTGAAGATGGTACAAGAAGCCACCCAAAGACATGTACGGTTTTCAACAGACATCATTGGCCTGCTTTTTTCTTTTGAATAACACATATTTTCTAAATAGCTGTTTAGTGGTGAAACTCCAATCTCGTGAAGTGTGGTTGTCTCTTGTTGTTGAACATACTTCTATGAAGATTTCATTTTTTTTGAAAAACTATCAATATAGGGCAAAGATATATACATCGTGGATATGTATGTGGTTCCTACCTGGAAGTCCAAAACAGCTGACGTGTTGGCCAGTTTTCCAGTAAGTTCCTGTTGCTTGAGACCTATGTTTCTTGAAATTGATATACAGCAACTTAAAATCCCTTGTTTAAAATACTAGGCTGACCAATTGGCCACCAAGGACATGGTTTTCATCCCTGCCTGGAGTCGGCAGCAAGGAAAGGCAGATCACTATTTGCTTTGCGTGAGTCTGTTCCAAATGATCTCACCAGCATGTACAAAATGAACATAAGTTGTGCTGTGTGGTTTTCTTCTGGTGTTTGATTATGTCTAATTTCAGCTATTTTGTCAATGGTTGACAGGTGATCAAGCCAGCAAAGAGAGAGTTATATTTGCTCGACCCTCTTAAGCCAGATGGCTTTGGGGACAATTCCTACAAGGACATATTTAGGTTTTTGTAACATGATTACCCCCTCACCGTTCTGTGGCTTGTATGGGAGTTCTAAATAGTTTATAGTATTCTAATACTGCAGTAACCATCTTGTAGACCAGGGGTCTGAATCTGATCAAATTCATTTATAATATATCTCCATTTCCACAAAGTCTGGAGTGTCCTTAGTGGAACCAAAAGAAAAAGAGTCTGCAACAGGATGCTATGAATTATAATATTCATTTTGTTATAAGCCTTGTTCAAAGGTTGTTTTCAAGTTCAGCTTTGTTCAGCGGCTGGTAAACGTATTTTTGTTTGTTTTATTTTAGCCCCGTTCAGTGGCTTTCATAACTTTCCTCTTTTAAGGCATGCAATAGTTCAATGTAAGGAAATCCAAAAACATGAATTATATTGTGTATAGCGTTCCTTCACCAAATCAATTCCCATGTCTTATCATTTCTTTTGACAGTGACCTAGCGCACCGCATTGCTCCAGGTCAGTGGACAGTAAAGTTCGGCAGAGACATCAAGGTACATTTCTCCACCATCTCATACACCTGCTTTCACATGTCTTTATTTTCCATTTGACCATGAACATCACTGTTATATTCCAAATTCTTACAGGGTTAGCCTCACCAAACCACGGGCAATGACTGTGGTGTCTTCATACTGATGGTAAATTCCTCCCTTGACACTTTTTTTTAAGGGGTTTTGTTAGTTTTTGAAACTCATAACTTAACAGATCTTTATCCTTTCACAGTATGCACTCAACTTCAGCACAGATGCTCTACTTTGGTTTACCGAGGTCAGTATTTATCCTCTGAGTTAGTATTTCAGGGGGAAGAGGGGGCTAACATTGAGTAGACAAATGATGAGGTTCCATTCATTTTTCAACTTTATTATTGTTACATTTTTCTTTTAGCGGGACATAGCACAGATCCGGAAATGGTGGTGCATTATGCTCATGGAACGGTACCAGATTGAAGGGTAAATCATACATTTTAAATGTTACTTTATAGACAACAGTTTCTTTGACACTGATTTACATTTTCATCCTGATATTATGTGATTTTTATAGCCACGGACAGATCCAGATTATTTAACACATGCATACATATTGATAATTGTATACACATGTAATTAAACAATCACATGACCCACACCTTATATTTTCCTTCAAAGGTCCAGTTTCAAAAGTCCGACATGTGCTTCATATTGGAGGTAATATCTTTTCAGTGAAGCAGTAACTGTTTTTTGTTTAAAAAACGACCTATGATCACGGCAGAATTTCCAACTATTATGTCTCACTGCTTTTTTTAACTTATTGATAGCTGTTTTTTACCTCAAGGAGAAGAATAACAAAACATAAGAAAAATGTGTGTGATATATTCAACATTAATATTAAAAATGTGTCTTTTTGCTACCTGAAGCCCAAAGAATCTTGGTATTTCGATTGTGCTGGCAACAGTCTAGTCAATGTGTTGTTAAATATGTTTGATCTAGTCTGACCAATACTTCACAGCTGCCAAACTGTCTTCTCTCGGACCTTCTGATGGAAGTGGTTCTCCAGGAAGGTGACAAAGCGTACTCATCACTCACTCTAGTGTGTACCACCTTCAGAGACACAATGTCCACTGTGTCTTTCAGAAGAGGGGCCCACTTTCGCTGGCTTGAGAGTAAGTGATTCAGTGAAGGTGCAGCAGTATACGACAGCTGTGGTGTCTATGCATATTTTTAATGGCTCTATTGAAATGCTTGTTTTTACACAGGTGTTGCTACATGGAGTTTGTTCTCTGCTTCATACAAGCAGGATTTCAACGTCATGTACACCATTGACACCTGCCGTGGATGCTTGGAGCCTTACAAAAACTGCAAACCAGGTAGACTTCTTATTCTGGATAATAATGTTTATGTGTCATTACATATTTAGTGTGTTGTGGTCCTAGTGTGATTCAATTACAATATTTTCTTTTTCTATTCATAGGATATGTTGGGAAAGGTAAAAGAGGAGAATTGCAGGGCATCTACTCTGATGACCAACATCCAGGCTATTGCAGTCCCTTCTGCAACCAGATATCATAGGTAAAGATTAACTCACACAAACAAATGTCAGAATAGACTAAATTGTCACTGCAATTAATGAAGATCATCATTTGATATCTTACCTTCAAGTTTGGTTTTCCCGGACGCTGCCCGTCGTGGACTTCGGGTCGTGGACTTCGGGTCGTGGCTGAACCTGTCTCTGCAGTCCTGCCTTGGGTCATGCTGCTTCCCTGATGGCTTCCTCATATATTCTGAACAATCTGTGCTGTTTTCCTATCCACATGTAAAAGGAACTAGAAGGATTTCTTGATACTAAGGGCTGTAGAGAAAAGTTTGGAGCTTTTTCCATTAACGTTGAAGTTCAAATTCTCAATAAACACTTGAATGCTGTGCTGTCTTTCTATTTACTTGAATGTGTGAATTCATTCAGTTGGGTAGGTAAGCTTGGGATGGATATATGAAATATATACATACAAAAAATTAGAGACTCTTTCCAATGAAAGTAGCTAGCCGCAATAGCTCCAAGATTGCTATATCTAGTTTGTAGGTCGCCAAGTTGGCATCATTGACAGTTCGTCTCTTAAAGCCTCTAAAGCTCTGCAACAAAAAAGGATCATTATGAATGTAAATACTATACATGGTAATGCAGCAGGGCATAGTGCGATGAGGCAGGCAGGCAGAACCAGATTTATTTCTAAATATTTGTCGATCAATATTAGGCTACACTAATATAAGGCTACTAGTATTATGATATTACTGCAATAATATTCCAGTGGTGGCTGCTTAAGGTTGTTTCTGGCTCGTTTGATCCAAACATTGTCCAAAGCTCAAAATGTATTGTAATAGATGTAAGAATTCTCAAAATGTACAATATGTTTTGATCCAACACAATATTCTGATTCAATCCATATATGTTAGGGGTTTTTTTTTCACCAAAATAAATAGACTGCCTTCTCTCCAGCTCACCGCACACAAAGGGGGGGGGGGGGGGGGGGGGGGGCATCTGTATTAACGGGTCAGTCTATAAGCACTCTAATAGCACCATAAATTACATTTAAATAACCACAAAAAGACAATTATTGTTTCCGATATTGATTTAACGAGATGCTGTTATAACATGGAAACGGCTTAATTTAAAAAAATAAGCTTCAAAAATGTTTTATGAAGCACACTGGGTACAGCCCTGTAATACATGTGTTCCGTGTGTATATAGTCTTACGCAAGAAACACATAGCATGAACAGACTGCAACAAAACCAGTCTTACAAAACAGACTTCTGCTAAACTGGTGCAGAAGCAAAGCATCTACCTTAGATGAAGTTCACACAGAACTGTGGAAAAGGGAGAACATCTGTACTTGCTTT